ACATTTCTGAAACTCTTTCATGCATACAGAGATATAAACGAAACTCACACTGCCATCAGTTGGTTCCAACTTACACAGGACCCTACAAGAATACAACTGCTCCTTAGGATTTCTAAGACTAAGTCTCTACAGAAGCAAGTCACCTCATCTTCCTTCTGCAGATGAGTTTGAACCATCAACCTTGTGGTTAACAGCCCAATGCTGAGACCACAGTACCACCAGGGAACCTTATATAGAGATAGAGATATATCGATGCCAACTCATAGCAACCCGACAGGAGAGAGCAGAACTGCCCCATCAAGTTTCCAAAGTGGTAAATCTTTACAGAAGCAGATTGCCACAACTCTTTCCTCTGGAACAGCCACTGAGTTCAAACCACGGACTTTTCTGTAAGGAGCAACTGAGAGTTTAACTGCTGCGTTACCAGAGCTCCATAAGAGGACAGGTAAAAAAATATTGCTACTAGGGTGTACAGGTTTATTCCTAACAAAGCATGTTTAAGCATGTCCTCTGCGAACAGTAGACGGCTGCGGACAAGTTCACTGGGTACTCTGCTTGTCTTTGTCTCTTCGGGATGCCTTCAAAGAAAGGATCCACGCAAAGCAGTGGTTTCCCAGAGGAACTTCTGGACCAGTTCAATTCAAGGTGGAGAGGTCAGCTAGGAAGGTGATGCAGACTGTTTTCCAGTATTCCAAAAGAGTAATCTTGGTAGATTTTCTCTAAGGACATAGGACATGATCATGCGGGAGTACCCCACATTGTAAGAGAATTCAAAGCAACCCTGGTGAGAAAGAGGCCAGGAGAGTTGCATGACGGTGTTTCTTTCCATCAGGACCGTGCACCTGCTCATTCAATGAGGGAGGGTGGCAAGGACTGCCCTCGGAGAACTGCACTGGAAAACCTTACGCTGCCCACGTTCCACCCTGGATCTTGCCCCTTCAGACTTCTTCCCCCCGCCCTCCAGAACTCAATGAAAATTTCAATGGAACAAATTTTGAGTCTCCAGGGGATGCCAAAATTGCCATTCTGATGTGGTATCAGTCAAAGAGTTCTTCAAGGGAGAATTCTTCAGGGAAGAGCTTGAGGGATGGGATAGCATTCCTCTTGAATTTGTCACTCTCGGCACAGTAAACCACCTGATGTCCAATTCACCATGGCCAATACCAATCCGCTTCAACTGACTAATGTCTAGGATATCAATTTTTATGCATTCCTTTTCCTTTTTCTGCAACTCTTTTCCTAGAGTCAAACTCAGGACATTCCAGGTTCCAATTATGAATAAATGTCTGAAACGGTTTCTTCTCCCTTTGAGTCACATCTCATCAGCAAATGAAGGTACCCCAATCTTCACTCCCTCCACATCATTCAGGTCAACACTCCCTTGAGGTGGCAGCGCTTGCCCAGTCAGATTTTGAGTGACTTCCAACCTGAGAGGCCCCTCTGCTGGCACTATCTTAGACCATGGGCTCGGCTCCTCATTCGGCTGTCAGTGGCTAATCCATCAGAAACGGAGCATCTAATCCTTCTTCCTAATCTGGTATTAGTCTGGAAGCTCTGATGGAATATGCTTACCCTGGTGACCCTGATGGCATCTGAAACAGCAGCTCGTATAACTTCCACCACAGTACGACAAACTGCCAGAGCAGAGGTGCCTCACGTTGTGACGGAGAACAATTACTGAGCTCCTCTGGGTAAGGCTTCACGCTCGCCAGTCCTGCTTTCTGATGGCTTAAAGCCTGAGTGGTTTTCCATGAGATTTCTGTCCACCCCCACTTGCATTTCTTATTGTAAATTAATATCACACTTGTTTAAATGAACTTCATCAAAACAAAACAGAAAGACTTGGACAGTCTGAGTCTTTCTTGAGGACAAGCCGAGTCGGGCTGCAGCACCTGCCAGAGCAAGGGCAAGTCCCTGAAGTGCGGCGCTCACGGGGCAAGTGGCCAGCTGACAGGAGGCTCACAGAGACAGTCTACCAGTTGGCCTCTCCTGCGGCCTCTGCTCTGCTGGGAGCATTTTCCATCCAAATTTCCAAATGCACCAGCTTGAAAAATCATTCTCATGATTTCAAAAAGACACACACGGCTTTATTGATAAGCATTTTAAAATCTGAGAGCCTTGTCCAAAGATAATATCTAAATACCTGTTTTGCAAATTGCAAGTCTCAGACTCTATTGTGGGTAGTAGCATATTGAGTGGGTAACTGCAATTTTGAAAAGTGATCAAATGGGATAGGCTATGATAGGAAGATGGAATGGAAAATATAATGCACCCAACGGTAGTGAAGATAAATATAAGTTCATTAACACTTTCTTTCCAGGTATATATACCGTTTTATACATATCATGGTAAAGACACACACACACATGCATAGTTAAAGACAATGAACTCAATTACCATTTTCACAACTCCTTTAGTCACGCATTCTGTCTTCTGAATGTCTAAGCACATACCTCAATGTTTCTCTGAATAAAATCCTGGTTAGGTTTACCCCGGAGCTCAGTATTTTCTGTACTTGAGGAAGGTTTCTTATCCAAGATGACCAATGACTTATTTCTTCCCACATCATAGATAAAACCTAATATTTAAAAAGTTCAAAAAAAAAATAAAATAAAATAAAAATTAAAAGTTTACAATGTTTTCATAACTGTAATTGTCAAGTATGTTTTAAAAATCATTTAAAGGGATACTAAAATATATAAGAAAAAAGACACAGAATAAACTCTGAATTTCCTATCCAGAAATGTAATATAAATGGATTTAATTTTTAAAAGATAAGTACCAGTAGACATTCCAAGACATGCTCATAAAATGTATGCTTTATCAACTCCTTGCTGTTGACTCCTTGGGAAAACATGTAAAGAATTTCAAGTGACACGTGTGAGGCCTAAACCTCTGCTGCGAGGAGAATCTTAAAATGTGATGTATTTTAGTCTTTATATAAAGCAAAAATTCCCTGAAGACTGAGTCCTTCACTGGGCCTCCACTCAAGCACTCCCTCAACGCAAGAATACCTTCTTCTATTAAATTGGCATTCTATGATGCTCACCTTCCCAACAAAGGTGAAGACAAAGCGGGAGAATAAGCAAATGTGGTGAAGAAA